ATGGACCCGAATTTGATGATATCCCGATCTCAGGTCTAGTTTAGAGAATATGGTGGCCCTGTCGAGTTCATCTAGTAGTTCATYGATTACCGGTATGGGAAATCAATCCTTCACAATAATGTTGTTCAGAGCCCTATAGTCTATACAAAACCGCCATGTCCCATCCTTCTTTTTCACAATTAATACTGGCGAGGAGAATGGGCTTTGGCTGGGTTGTATAATTTTTCTATCAAGCATATCTTGCACTTTTCTCTCAATCTCTAGTTTCTGAAAATAGGGGTAACGATAGGGCCTTACATTTGTGGGTGCAGTTCCGGGCAGCAATGGAATGCAATGATCATGGGCACATTTCGGTGGTAGTTCCTTAGGCTCTTGGAAGATCACTGAAAACTTCTGAAGTAGCTGTTGTAGTTGTGTGCGGCCTTCTTTGGATCTGCTTCCTTGGACTAGAATGGGGCCGTTCCCGTGGGAGCCTATCTGCATTAAAATGATGTGGGTTGGGTCTGCTGCCTGTTTCCTTAGGGAGGCGAGACTAATGGGTCCTGGACCCTTGGACAGCTGCCCTTGAATATGCACCTGTGAGCTGCCCACGTGAAAATCCATGGTAAGACGGGCCCAATCACATATCACCGGCCCTAGTTGCCTTAACCATTGGACTCCAAGAACTACATCATTTTGCACAGCCTATTTGAGTTTTCCCAGTTTGCGAGAAGTTCCTTCTCTTCTTTGGTGCTCTCATTTGTAACAATTGGCTTTTCTTTGACCCGTAAGGCTAGGTCCAGGTTTGTGCAGCCTAAGGCAATAAGAAGACTTTCTTTCCACTCCTAGAAATTGTCTCCTTCCAATAGAAGTATGAAACTATGGTCTAGGAAGTTAAGATTAGCTGCCGCAAAGAATAAATAAATTATTAGATTAATTGTAAAACGAAATCAAGTCTACCTTTGGGCATTCAACCTAATTGCATTTGTAGCAAACCGCTAGATGTGAAACTAGGTGTGGTTCAATTTGAGTATGAAGGTCCCGCACCTTTGGGTATTAGAGATTTCTCCATTCCCTAATTAACTCACATCTATTTCCCTCCATCTAATTGCCAATGTCAATGACCATTCGCCTTTGGGCCCTCATGGTCATTGTTTTGTCAACTAGATGCAATCTTTGCAGAAAACGTGGTTGCCTACTACGATTTACACTTAGGTTGCTTTGGCCACGCTTAAGTTTAAATCTAAATTTAATTAACGGCAGCTTAAACTCAAGGATGTGTGGTGTATGTAAAATCAATTAATTAGGTAGCTTAAACATCCTTGATTCACATAAGGCCACTATACGTGAGTATGCAAGTAGTCCTAAATTTTCTATTATTGTTTTATGGAGCACAAAACTTATCTCAGCCCAAAACATTCCCAATTGAATTGTAATGGTCCATTGCGCCAATTCAGCTCAAAATGTGTAATTAAACACATAGTTGGACCTTACCAAATTGCCCTAGCAATTCAGCCAGCCCTTTGCAACTTCAACTTTTGGGCTCAAACAAGTTTAGTAACATAAGTAAAGTTACATCCATCAAATAATAAGAGAACATTTAAGACATCTCAAAAAAATATCAACATCAGTACTATGCATTCTAACGTAAGCAATTAATCAATAAGCTACCAACTAGTACTTGATGGGCATGCATTGCATTTCAGCATCAATATTTTTCTTTAAAAAAATTTTATCTTGCATGCTACTATGCAACAAACTCTATTACAAATCCAATCAGCCATACTCCACCACAAGGAATTAAAAACCGATTAGATCGTAGCATGCTGTTCAGCCAACGACGCGCCAAAAAATATAATTAAATAATCATAAATAAATATTGGCTGAAGATAAATTGAACAATGGTTCTGAAATGTAATGCTTGAGTTATCATTTTAAATCCTAAAAAAATAGCAAAACATAGAAACGAAACTATATGTTAATGGTGGACTTTGTCCATCCTCAACATGGCCTGTTACATCAAGGATGCCTTTAAAATTTCAGCATCCACAATTTAAAATAAAGTAATCAAAGAATTACATCAACGAGAAACAATACATGGAAATGACTTTCTCACAATTACCACTTTAGATCATGCCATGTCTTGGAATGAACATCACCAAAACCCATTAACTAAAATTTATAACTAAACTAAATGATACACTCAATCATTAATAAAATCAGTAGGAATTTTTTAGCCCATCATTGGCCTTCTAATCAATCCAGCCATGGTTCAAGCAATGGTCTGCAAGGACCAGCTCTGATACCACTATTGTTTGATTGAATGTCAACAAAATAGAATAAAAAAAAAACAAATAAGCTAAACGATACTTGTAGAGCCCATTGCCATGAGCATCTCTTCTTCCTCTTGTTGCTTTTGATTTCCAGCCAAGCAGAATGTTCTCAAAGTTAGGTTGATCAGCTATTCAGTCCAGCCTCTTGTTTGTATTCGTACTGCACTTTTCTCCTCATGGAGTCTTGAACATGGGCTGATGGTTTGCAATATTTGGCAAAAGTTTATTGTATTTCTCAATGGAGCTTTTCACAAACTCTAGTATTGGGCTAGAGAGGCTAGGGTTAATTTTTCTTCTCTCATTTTCCCAATAATGGTTCGGTGGGTAAGAGTAGAATGAACGGGGGTTCTTTTCTCTTAGAAGATAGCTAAAAGGAGGGACCCTATCCACCTATTTAGTAGGTAGTTCCCCACCATTAAGGAACTCCTACTATAACAGCCTATAAGAATCAACCACTCTCCACTTCTACTCATCTACCTAAATTCAATTTTAAATTCAAAAATATTATAAAGATAAGTGGGCGAGAGATTTTAGGGCTTTATGGTTTTCACTTAAACCAAAATGAGAGTTTTTTGTAGGGAACCCCTATAGCCACAACGATAGGCCATGAATTTATGGGCCCCACACTCTAACAGTCTATACATAAAGAAATTTATATTTGTGGATATGAAGGCTCTGAATCTGCTAGAAAAGTATCCTTCACACCCAATATTGCCATGGTGAAGGGTTTTAGTTAAAAATATAGAGATACATGCAGGCTCTAACTTGCAATTTGCTTTCCTGAGATAAATTTCTTTGCTTATATGAAAAAACTAGTATGAATTTATTTACACTTGCAGCTATCTTTTACCTTATGCTTTACCCTATAACTGCCAAAAGTCTTGCTACTACTCTCATTGACTTCCACAAACTTCCCTTTTTTCTCCCTGAATCTCCATGCTTATTGCATACTTGCACAAAAGAGCTTTGTTCCCCTTGATCTCTATGTCTGCAATTTTTTTTGCCTATCAATGAGGTGACTTTTCTTCCCCTTCCATATTATGCTATGAAAATTACCTCTTAACAAGCTCCTTGTGAAGATTGATACCAGAATCTTAAATAGGGAAACAGAATATAAAGCATGATATCTTCTATCTTCACCTTCAAAAATGGTATTGAGGTAAGACTTTAATCAGTATCTAAAAAGTTTATTAATGGGTGAAGAATAATATACAAGTAATTACAATGAGTGCGTTACATTATAGAGCTACCCAATTGCTACTCTCCCCAATAGCTCCAAGTAGAAACAGAAGTACAAGTAGTACCTCATGTCAAACAAAAGGATATGCTCCCTCCATTCATTCATTATTTCTGATACCACCACCTGTATCTGATTGTCCAGGCTTTCCAATGCTGCAAGGTATTGTGGTAAGTTGACTGGGATGCTTCGATTAGAGTGGCATACCTTTTCTTCTCAACCAGCAAATGTATACATTCTTTGCATCTGGCAGTTTTAGATGACGATGATAATAACAGTAATAATGTGTTCAAATTTTTCAATAATTTTTTATATTTTGTGTATGAAAGTTATTCTTATTTATCATTTGTTTTTGTTTAATACGATGTATATATAATATTAGAGATGCATCCAAAATTTTCAATATAACTCTTATGATTATTTTTTAAATCTTATTATTTGATTCACGACTCATACGATTCATATGGTTCATGTATCCTTGGAGAATAAGTCATGAAATTCCTTGTGGACTTTCCTACAACTTTCTCAATAATTTTTTTGATAATCCAAATGCAGCCTCAATAGACCTGTTCATGGGCTGGGCTTGGACTTAGCTTTTGCCAAAATTTGAATGGGCCTCGCCCGGGCCCAAGGCAGTTGAAAATGTTCATTGTCTGAGTCTGAAGTCTGGCCTGTGAATAACCCATTTCTCTTTCAGATTATCAAGTTATATCTGCAATACTATACAGCTGCTCCCACTTCCCATGTCCACATTCATGCGATGGTTCTTTCAGCTACTGCAAACTTAAACTTCTTAAATTTGATTCCATAAACTTAACGTTCCACCATTAAAATCTTTTAGGGTGGACCAAGTTCACCTTTACCAGATACTAGGTGTTTTCCTTAAATAGGGAAATAACGCATGAAGAAGAAAAACCATTTCATGTAATCCACTCTATTTCTATTATAGAACTTTAATGTGATGAGGTAACAACTATGATTCTGCCCTAATTGAGAGGGTTTATCACACAATATTCAGTGAGAATTTATGACTGATTCGGGGGTACTCTAATGGCTCAAATTGATACTTCAAACATCAATTCCTGTTGGTATCTTTAACAATTGCCTTCTTAGCTCTCCTTGTGTTTTGGCTTTTCTTGTTTCTTTCCTTTCTGAGTCAACAATTTGCAAAGGAATTAAATATTTATGTTTTAGAATTTATAATGCAACTTGGAAGTCGATGTTGATGTTCTCTAATCTCTAATCCATGGCTCAATTGTTTATATTCTACTTTGCATCCATTAGATTGCATGTTCTACTCCAAGCACAATATGTGCACATAAATTTTAGAAAAAAGTGGAAGAGAAAGGTAGTTGAAGTTTTGGTAATTCTAGCAACAGGGATTTTGTTCTTCTATTGGTTTCTTGAAAGGAAGAAATAATGATTTTCACTCCTTTTTGCTCTTCTAACAGGACCCCAGGAATTATTCCTTCTGGTGCAGAATGATGGAGAGAGTACCCTCAAAGTAAATATTACAGTCCCAGCATCAGTAAAAATTCCTGTTAAGGAGCTAGAGATACCCAAACACCGAGTGAAAAAGGTCTGTTTCCACGGTCTTTTTATTTCCTTGTTTTCATTTTTTGTGAGCTTATCGGTAGTATTTACATTTTTTTTTATTCCAGATCAAGTTCTCAGTTAGTACCTCAGAAACTCATAATATAGTATTAAATGCTGGAAATGGGGAATGCGTGCTTCATATGGTATCACCTGTATCTGAAGGGTTTTTCCAGCGAATCCCCTCTTACACCACCCTTGTGTCACCCATCTATGGTGCCTACTTGTTGTTTATAATTGCTTTGATTGTTGGAGGGACATGGGCCTGCTGTAAGCTAGGGAAGAGGCGGCACGGTGATGGTGGAATCCCATACCAAGAACTTGAAATGGGGCTGCCGCAGACTGTTTCAGCTGTAGTTGTGGACACAGAGGATGGTTGGAATCAGGATTGGGGTGATGATTGGGATGAGGACAAGGCAGTGAAGTCAGCAGGGGGACTCCAGGCTGGAAATGTGTCTTCAAATGGCCATACTTCCAGGTCATCCAGTAGAGATGGATGGGAAGTCGGATGGGATGATTAGAGGTTTTTTGGACAAAAATGAATGGGATTTTTTTTTTTTTTTTGTTGAGGAAAAAATGAAAAGAAATGACAGAAATAGTTACACATTAGATTTTTCAATAGCAATATGTTGATTTTCAAATAATAAATAGAAAGCAGTTTTGGCGATAGTTGGGTGGGAATGAGGCGTTCTTTTTTTTTTTCATCTGATAGGTAAGAGGAGATGTGCGTCCAAAAGCAAATCTATAATTATATTCACCGTGAAGATCCCTTGAAGTTGGATTAAATATTGCCCTGACAACTCATGGTAGTAATTCTGATTTATAACAATTTAGTATGAAGTGTGAACATCATATGGGTAGAATGATGAAATATCACATTATCATGTATCCCACTGAAGGTTTAGCTGTTTCATTTCCTTTTCCTCCAAATCTTATCTACATTCCTTTTAGAATAATATCTAATTGAGATGGGTGCAAATTCCAAATGCACTAGAAAGTTGAAATAACGCCGTAAAGGTCAATAGTCATTCTTCCCCAAATCCAATCCCCACCAAATCAAACTCCGTATATTCTGGTCTCAATAAATCATTTGGAAATTCGAATTTTAAGTGTCTATTCTATTGTGCTTGGACTGTATGTAGAGTATAGACTGTTGATGCACACATTATAAGTACATGCAGACAGATGTATTCTTGGCAAACCGGATTTTCTACCCACCACTCTATCCGCCACCGTGAATTGCAACCAGATGTGAGGATGCAATTCACGGCGGATAGAGTAGGAAATCTGGATTCTATTCGTGGCGAGATGTTCTGCAACTGCAATGATTATTGGGACCAGATCCGGACTCGGTCAGGGTGCATACTGTTTGATCATCGGCATTGTTCCCTTCCAACGAATCCAACCTGCAAAATCTATAAATCATAAATGGGTCCAACGTGCCTCAAAAACTTGATATAATAATCTAAAAGGCGAGTGTTGTTGGGCTGGAAATAGTGCCCCCCCCCTACAAAAGGAAGTGCGGAACAGACAATTTAGCAGCAGCTCATGTAAATGTAATATAATAATAATAATAATAATAATAATAATAATAATAATAATAATAATAATAATAATAATAATAATAATAATAATAATAATAATAATAATAATAATAATAATAATGATAATTCGTGGGTGTCTAACAAGAACTGTAAATGTAAGGTAAGGTACCCAGGAGTGTCCGTCCAATCATCAATCAGCTGGATGTAGATGGTCAGATCCATTCAAGTATCCAATTTGATATTTTGTTGCACGTACAGTACAGCTCCTCCCGTCTAATTCTAATCTGCACTGTTTGATGGATGGGAAAAGTAATATACTAATATTGTCCGCATGTGATGGATGGATTCACAGACACTTGAATCTATTTTCAGAAATCAGAATCCTTTCAATCTTACAAATTGTAGAGGTAATCACTGAGATCTCATCAACCTGTTTGCTGTTTGCACATGCCGCCTCCAAATAAAACAAGCATAAATAATATATAAATTCAAGTCGTATTGTCTCCGCTCACAATCGGAAAATCCAGCATCATATGTTCTCTCTCTCTCAAGTCTCAACCACTACGTGCTCAGTGAAAGTTGTATAAAGATATCATTTTGTCCCTCTATGAAGTAATCAAGTACAAAGTTCACTATTTCCTCACATCTCAAGAATTTTCTCTTTTTCTTTTCTATCCTTTCAAATTCGTTTTGTTTTCCTCACAGGAAGCACGCCTTGCCCCATCAACGAAGACAAATTTTTCGATATTCTCTTAATCTTTCCCCAAGGCCCCAGCCCGCGCACGCGCAACTTCTTCCAACTAAGGGTTCAGATTCAGTTTAGGGAAACAGTGATGATGAATTTATTTATTTAGCGAATTGAGAAGCTAAAGATAGAAAACCCAGAAGTCATTTGGTGTAAAAAGAAAAAGAAAAAAAAACAATTTTGAAGAGTTGCTTTTGATGAAACACTTCGGCTTAATTTTGTTACCATTTTTTTTTTTTTTKGGGGGGGGGGGCGAGTCCAGCGTCCCGGTCACCACATAATGAAGAGGGCCTACCTACATCACTACATGCTACATTCCACCCAAGTAAAAAAGAAAGTTAAGTTGTTGAGGGCCCCCCATGTGCAAGTTAATGAGAAGCCCATGGAAAAGCTTCTCTAAGGCGGCCCCACAACACAGTTTTAATTTAATCAAAAGTTTCATTTCAAGCTCATGCCTCAACTGATAGGCACTTTGGCAGGGGCAGGCTGTGCCTGTGAAAGTGTGAAGCAATAAGTTCTGAAATTAAAATAACCCATCAACACACCTTTGCTACAAGGCCTTTTTCTTCGAAATTAGAAAAGAAAAAAAAAAAAAAAAGAACTAAATTGGCTGTGAAGAAGCTTGAACAGCATCCGTATTGAATATTATGAATAATAAAAAAAAGGGACGAAATTATCTAAAATTATAAGTAATGAACGTCAAGCTCTTCAATTTCTTTAAAAAAGGCGTCAACTGAGGAAATGGGAATCAAATTTATCAAAAGATAAAAGTAAAAATAAATGAAGAAATGAAGAAAGAAAACAAAAAATAAAAAGAAGAGTGCTTCTTTTCCGACAGTACGAAAGCACGCAATAGCTTTTCTTTATAGTGGAAGTGGTTCTTTTTTTCTTTCTTTATATTACTTTTTACCGGGCTTTTGCCTTTCAGTTATTCGGTTCCAAACTTTAACCTGCCTCACCCACCCATCACCCATCATGTATTTGCTGCTTTTACCTTTTAATACCAAATAACACACTAACAATATGAATAAGCTGTGGATGTTTGTGAACACAAGTGAAAATTGGGCATCTCACACTCACCAGCTCTCCAATTTTCCATTTGTTCCATTCTTCTGGTGTTATTAATTACAATTTGGAAAACTAGGTCTAGGCAGCTAGCCGAGAATGGAATTCATCCTCGCACTCGCAAAATTGATCCTCACGAGTCACGACACTTGCAACCGCATTGGGAACATTTTTCCATGAATGAAAGACATACAAATTGCACCCCATAATTACTGAATACTGATGATCGAGAGCGTAATGACATCTTTCTACGCCTGGTGGTTGGCCCCAGCCAACCAGGCAATCCTGAAACATTTTAGTACAACCCAACCCAGAAACATGCAACACAGTCGGCCGATCGAGTCGAGAAAGCCCAACAACCAGCCAATGGGAATTTGTTTTTATCCAAAGCTTAACGCTCGCAGGCCGCAGCCACAAGATGAAAGAGTCAAAGACGATGCCGATGCGTCTTCAGTCTTCACAATAACGCCTTTAAGCAGGAAGACGCACACGGACCCCATCATTCCTTTTTTTTTTTTTTTTGGGTTCCACCGGATTCCAGATTTCACCAACAATAGTACATCGTAAGATAGGGCTTCTGTTTGCTTCACAACACAACCATTGTACGTACCAAGAAGAACGTATATCCACCCATCACACGAATATCACGGCAAACTAAATAAATAAATAAAAGAACCAACCAACAATAACATCAGAAACTCATCCACACCGCAAAGTAATTGGTTCAGGTTCGAAAGGGGTCCCAAATTGAAACCCGGTGAAAAGGAATCCGGCAACACTATAATGATAACAATAATAAAAAAAAAAAAAAAAAAAAAAACAAAGGAAAAAACCCTACAAAGAGAACCCGTGCCGTCATAAGCTAGACAAACAAAACAAACGAGTAGGAAATTTCCAAAAAAAAAACAAAAATTACAACAATCAATTTTTCTTCTTCCTCTTTCTGTGTAATTAGACTGATAAACTAACCGGATTCCTCTTCGCCGGAATACCCATTATCTATCCCTTCTATGTCCTCCCTTTCTAGTAGTAGTAAATTTAATAAAAAAAAGTCCAATTCATACCAACTCCTCTTGGCCTTCGGATGGGCATCTGATCAATTCCAATATATTAACCACTTCTGCCATGTTCGGCCTATTCGATGGCACCTGTGAAGTACAGATCAACCCTAGCTTCATCACCGGAATTGCTTCCTCCGCTGGGAAGTTTCCACTGAGCCTCCCGTCCACGCACTGCTCCACCCTACCTTCTTCTAATGCCCCTCTCACCATGTCACACAGCACCACCACGTCATCCTCCATATATTCCACAGGCCGTTTCCCTGTCACCACCTCTAACACCAAAACCCCAAACCCATATACGTCACATTTCTCAGTTATCTTCACTGTCCGGCATGCAAACTCAGGTGCCATATACCCAAGTGCACTCTGTATCTTGCTACTTAAAACGTAGCGATCAAGCATCGGTAGCAGCCTCGCCAACCCAAAATCTCCAACCTTTGGCTCGCCATTGCTGTCAATCAGTACGTTACTCGACTTCAGATTGTAGTGGATTACGTTCAGTTGGTGCAAGTGAGCCAGGCTTCTTGCCGTCCCTAGAATTATGTTGAACCTCTCATGCCATGAGAGCCAGTTTCCACCAGCTCCCTCGTGCAAGTGTTTATACAAACTCCCACCAGAAACAAACTCAGAAATGAGGAGTTGCAGTGATGGAGTCCAGTAATATCCTTCCAGTGCCACAAGATTAGGATGTCGTATCTTACCCAGCTTCTTTACTTCTCTCTCAAAATCTTCTTGGGACTTAACAAGGCTTGACACAGTAAGCTTCTTGATGGCAACTGGACGGCCATCTCTGAGTACCGTTCGGTATACAGCTCCAAAACCACCACGGCCAAGTTCACAATCCTTGTTGAGAAGGGCATGGGCCCCGGCGCTGAAATCAGGATCACCAGAAAACATGACAAGCTTGCCAGAATTTGCATCAGTAATGGGAGATTGGCTGAATTCATCTCCACCCGATAGTGTAAGGGCTGCAGCTGAGCGAGAAGTAGATGACCGTACCCGGAGGTTGAGGACAGTCACAGCAATCACACCAAGGGCAATCACGATGGCAGCACCAATTGCAATTAGGGCAGAGATGCTGAGGATGATCTTCTTGTGGCGGAGATTAGGAGAGAATGAACCCATGCCAGAGGAATCAGAAGATGAGTTAGGGTTAAGGACAATTGGTTTGGGAAGGACAGCAGGGCATGAGCGGTTGACAGCAGAACCACAGAGGGATGGATTACCAGAAACAGAGGAGGGGGAAATAGTGTTAAAGAAGCCACCGGCAGGTAACTCTCCTTGGAGATTGTTGTGGGAAATATTGAAAGACAAAAGGTGGGGGAGATTGGCCAGCTGCTTGGGTAGGCTTCCGGACAGATTATTCATGGATAAATCTACAGTTTGGAGATTGGTGAGGTTTGCTAAGGTTGCAGGTATTGAACCTGAGATGTTGTTCTGCGACAGGATCCTATGCAAATAAAAGAAAAAGCAAAATCAATTAGAAAAACAGAAATAAATAATCATAACAAGTTTAAAATCTTGAGATATAACATCAACCCAATTCAGATTTACTCCATGATTGCCTGTCATTAGTATTACAATTTTAGAATTTAAACATTTGAACAATGATTTTTTTAACGAACACACCAAGAACAATTGCAAAAACCAATGTGAAAAAAAAAACTGAGAATTTTCATTTTATTGTTTTTTTTTACTTTCAGTTTCCAGTAAAAAAAATAAGAATCTTGATACTGTTAAACAAGCTAGAAGATGACAAATACACTTGCAAGTTGCAATCAGGACTTGTTCAGTGGAGGGCAAAATTCTGACTTCCAAAGACAGTTTGCCTATCAGATTGCAATAGTATAGCCGTAGGCATGCTGCCTGATGAACAAATCATCACATAAGTGGAGGCGAAGATAACCTTGATGTTATCAAGTATCCTTCAAAAATTGACATGGGGTTTGGTTCCTCCACAGTTGAGATAGGCCATCTTTCAGCTCTTGCCGCTAGTAGTTTGTCTATGGCGTGGTTAGTCAAGTGGAGGGATTGTCCTAGTGTAATCTACCCTTTGATTGATTACTAAAAATTCCCAGTAGCCGGAAAAAACATTGAGAAACTATTAAAATACTTCCGACAGAATGAGTTAAAAAAACTTTCAAATTTCATGGTGATGATATACTTCAAAGCAGAAATGAGACAGCAAGAGGACACGGAACTTACAGATATGTTAGGGACAAGCACTTCTCAATCTGTAAAGGAATTTTGCCAGCTAGGAAGTTCTTTTCCAACCTCAGTTCCTTCAAAGAAACAGCATCCCAAATTTCAGATGGGATGCTACCATTCAGTCGGTTCTCACTCAAATCAAGAATAGTTACAGCCTTCAAATCACCTATACTTGCAGGGATTAAACCAATGAGAGAGTTCCTGGATACATTCAAGATCTGCAAGTTGCTAAAAGTCCCAATGTTCCTGGGAATTTCACCAGAAAATGCATTATCTGACAAATCTAAGACCTGTAGAATACTGTATGATGGCTCCACTGATAGGGGGAATGGATTTTTTATCACTCCACTTAGTCTGTTTTCTGAAAGAAAAACCTTCTGCAAGCCCAATCCATAAATCCATGCTGGTAAGTTACCCGTCAATGAATTTCGACTAAAATCCATGATCAAAAGGTTTTTACAGTTGCACAAGGAATCAGGCACAACTCCAGTAAACCCATTACTAGACAGGTTTAACAGCTTCAGTGATTGAAGGTTCCCCAATGAATCTGGGATGCCACCAGAAAATATATTCCTTGACAGATCTAGAGTCTCAAGGCCTCTCATTTCTCCAATCATCGCCGGAAGTTCTCCACTAAATAGATTGCCATGCAAACTCAGAGAACTACACATGGTAAGTTTCCTCATTGAATCTGGAAGACTCCCAGATAGAGAATTCTCGCTAAAATCAATCAACTTCAAGAGTGAACACCCTCCAATATCATCGGGCAATTGCCCAGAAAACCGGTTCTTCTGTAAATTGATCGATCTCAAATTATACAAGCCTGCCATACCTTTGGGAATCACGCCCTCTAGTAGATTATCTGAAAGATCAAGTGATCGAAGGCCATTCAAGGACCAGATTCCGGACGGCAACGGGCCGGATAGCTGATTGGAGGAGAAGTTAAGAGTGGCGAGGGTTGAACACGAGCCCAAATTCTGTGGGATCTGTCCTGACAAGTTGTTCCTCGCAAAGGACATTTCTCTTAAAGAACCACATTGCCGGAAAAAATCATCTGGTATTGGTCCTGACAGTCTGTTATCACTAAGATCAATGACCCGCAGGCCCTCAAGTCGTGCAAGATTTGGGTTTATGGTCCCGGTGAAATTGTTGTTTGAGAGGGATAGTTTGCGAAGGAATTTCAGTTGGAGAACTCCTCGGCCAATACGCCCAGATAGAGAGAATCCCTCAAGAACAAGCTCAGAGACCCGGTTGGTTTTGGGGTCGCATTTTACTCCTACCCAATTGCAGGGACTGTCATCGTCTTCATTCCAAGATATCAGTTTCGAGTCCGGATCTTGGAGATCAGCCTTGAAGACAATTAACCCAAGAACGTCGTCATTAAGAGTTGTTTCCAAAGATCTCACAAAAAATGGGACTAAGACAAGAAAGGCAAAAATCCCAAGTAGCCTTCCCATTTCAACAGCTATCTGGGTTGATGTTACGCAGTCATTGCAGGAAGCTCCTCACGACTTCAAGAACGAGTTTCAAAGATAAAGTGAACAGAAATGAGAAACTTCATATGATATAATCAGAACCACGGAGAAACCTCTCTAAAAAAATACGATTTTGTCACAGTTGGGGCTGGAAAACACTGATTGGCGAACTAAACCTTGAGCAAATAGTACTTCTAGAGAGAGAAAGAGAGATGTTGAAAATGAACAATTGCGGTCCGGTACCAAAGGGAGTAAGTCAATGGCACTGTCGCACTAACATTGTTTGTTTACCAACTCTTAGAAGCTGAGCCTGAGAGGTAAAAGTTGGTGAGATTACCTACAGAGCCGAAAAAGCAAATAAAGACCTCCAACAAAACTCGAAATGACCGATTCAACAAGGAAAAACCACGTTAGCAGGTGATTTCCAAGCTACTGTCGGAAAGGAATAACCAAAACAAGAAGGCTCTACAAAGCAAACCAAGAATGACTGGAATCTTCAGTAAAGAAACCCTAGAATAACTCCACATGCCAAAACGCCCATATATCAAGCTTCGAACAGAAGACTAGCTCGGGATCGACCCGCCCTTAACTTTAAGAGCTAAGATCTCAGAAGCGATGTAGTGAGAAACTAGTGATGAAACAACTCCGGGCGATTGACCTTCACTTCGTCGGAAATGCGGCCGGGACCTGAAGATGAAGAAAGAAAATGGAATGGTCTCTTGAGCCAGCACGGAAAGCTTACAGGTTTTAGAGGTATTTTAAGCCAGAAAGCTCGGAGAACGTGAAGGCCTGAGGGTAAGAGCTGAATCGGCGGGAGACATAAATATAGCCAACTTGAGTTGCCATTAAAGAGCTCTCTGCCTGTCTGATGAGACTGAAAAGAGAATAGCTTAAGCTTCTTATTAACAGCGAAAATCAGGTAGATGGGCCTTCTTTTATTTCAGTACACGTGGCAGAAAAGCTTGGGTCAAACTCAATCCTATGTGGGGGAGGGGGAGAGGGGACAGACGGCGTTTTGTTTTGGTCGCCAAGCCAACTGCTTTATGACATTGCCGTCACGTTCGAAGTTCGGCGCGCTTTGCCGGAGAATGTTATCCATCTAGCGAAGACGTGAAATGGGTTAACGCCTGAGTCCTGATGGATGTTAGGCTGGGGCCTGGGGCCTCCCTTTCTATGAATTTACAAATATTTCCCTACCAAATATAGGCTGTACTGTAGCCAGCATCGCATTGGAGCTTACAAACCACGTTTGTTTGCTGCTGCGCCAAAACCACGAAATCAAAGCCATGGATGTGATGTTGTGGCCCCACCACCTTCCCACCTTGAATTCAATCGATGCTCTTCATCCACGATTTTACCCCTGCGCTGCGCTAAAATCATATCGTAGTAACTTAGCAAAAGTGAACTCTTTTTGTTGAGTTTAACGTCGGTTGACTCATGTTTTTTTACCAAGCACCACCAGTACTTTTTTTATTTGAAGGACCTTGTTTTGATGATCTCTGCACTCTTGGGTCCCACCTCGAAGATTGAGAGCTGGATGAAATCAGTACAGCTGCGCTGTTAAATGGTTCTTGAAATGAATTATATAAGATCACATATAGGGATGAGAAAAAACCAAAAAATCGAACGGTCGAAACCGAATCGAAAAATCGATAAATCGAATCGATCTGGTTTGGTGTTTTATAAAAAATCGAACGTATGAGTTTGGTTTCTATTAACCAATAAAGAAAATTGGTGGTTAATCGAATCGGTATATATATATATTTTTTTATTTATTTATTTTATATATATTATGTATAAAATATATATTTTGTATTTTTATATATTATAAATTAATAAATATACATTATATATAAATATATATTTATAATATATGATATATTTATATTATTTAAAATATAATATATTATAAAAATTAAAAAATCAAAAAATTGATGATTAATTGAATCGATTAGTCGATTGGTTTCGATTACAAGTTTTTAAAAAATCGATAGTACGATTTGATTTTTTTTTTTTTAAAAAAAACCAAAATTTAGTTAACCTAACAGTGAACACCTACACATATGTTGTAGATTTGAACGGTTCAACCGAGTACCATGGTCAAACCCCTATTGCCATTGGAGAGTGGTCTGCCAGAGATGGCGTACAAGTTTTCCTTTTTATGATTGTTTTAATAAAAAATAACTTTAATGATAATAATCTAAACTTATGTTATTTCCTTTTTTTTCTAAAATTGTGTTAACTTGAATAAGCCAACTGTTTTTGTTTAGAAAAGCAAAAGTATCGATTTGTTGGATGAGAATCACATGCCGAAAAGATTATCAATTGTAATTATTATACCACTGTAAAATTAAACCAATTTTACATTTTTAAGATTCAAATATATTTGATTTTGTAATAAACATTTTTTAATTTGCATTGTTGACAAACGGAACCTATATATATATATATGCAACTCTGATTTCGGATCAGATGCTAGCACAATATCGCAAATCCGAGCAAGAGCAACCAATCACGCGACTTGCACCTAACAGTCCCCTGGTCGTTCCATATACCGGGGACGCTATAATTCCCGTGTCTCTCACTCTCAGGTAATAAAGGGGAAAGGAGAGGGACAAACGCGGGAAATCGTTAGATGTGTAGAGAGAGAGAGAGCAAAAGCAATAAAAGGTATTAAAGTGAGGGAAGGGGTGGGTGGTGGGGTTAATTAATAAAAGTGGGAGGAGTAAGTGGGAACAGTAAAGTGCAGCTCCCAGAAGTGCGTGCGAAACCAGATAGAGAGAAAGACAGTTGATTGCTCTTGCTCAAATGCTCTGTCACATTTAACCACGGTTAATCTACAGTCGTATAATGGATCCAGTGGTCACATTTTTTCGCACGGTCAATATTGCTGGGGACCACTCACCACGTAGTGCACCGGTAAATGAAATATTGGTAACAAGTAACGTGGCATTAGCTATTAGGATTCTCTATTACCATATTACGGCAGGTGTAGGGCCAGGGCGCCGTTCCTAGGAATTTGGGATTGGACTCACTTTCTCAACTCTCTACTCTCTACCCACTCAGGGCATCAAACAACGATATCACATGTCACCTCATTATGTATTTATTTAATTTTGGTGTAGTTTAGTTTGATTGTGGTCTAATGACATGGATTAATCCACTCTAACCACATTAGCAGCAAGCAAAGCAAGAGCAATCACTTGGAACAGTGGCATTTAATTGTTGAGTGTGACCAATTAATGGGCATTAAGTAAGGCACTGGCGCATGAAGAGTAAAGACACTCTGATAAAGCCATTAATACCGTGTAGAAATATTAAAGAGTGCCTGATAGATTATAGAGCCATTTAATAACACTTAATGAATGAACATCCTCGTCAATTATGGCTGGTCATCAATAAATTTCGTATATTTAGTAGTTAGTATTTGTCATCACTATTTATACATCTATTATCTTACTACTTGTTGATAGTACAATAAGACAAACGTCCAGACCTCCACTCAATTTTGAAATTAGTTATAACCCATCTTGGATGGTGATGACTTGATTGTGTATCTGATGAAGGTAGTAGCTCGTCATAACAGTACGTCCAAGGTGCGAGTTCTGAAAAGAGGAATCCGTAGTCCGAATTTTCTACAAGGAGTTCGAGTTCTCCCTTAGATCCCGAGCCTTACAAACACAAAGGGCAACAACCCGAACTGGACCGTCCCATGGTAGTTCGGGCCACACCTCTATCCGAACTCAAGACTTTATATCGCACACCACTCCAGCACTTTGCCTCTAGGACGTCGAACTGAACAACCGCACCGTACCTGACACTAAAGGACTCCGTATCCTGAGGCGGCGCACCTGACTGACTTGGGATCTAACGCTTGACAGCCGCACTTCAACGGCCACCTGCCACCGCCATCTCCAGTTACAGAGACGGCTCCGACAAAGAGAGCAGTGGCGGTTCTGCCCCAGTAGAGGTGATGACACCCGAACTGGCAGAAGCGTAGAGGTAATCATACCCGACCTGACAGAAGCTTAGGAGTGAGTGCGTGAAGTGGTTATAAAAGGCTATCTTCCCCCCAAAAACGAGGTATGTGACAACTTTGCGTCATCTGGTTTTATTTTGCCTTTGAGGAAATATTAACTTGAGCTTCGGAGCATTATCACCGGATTCTTCCTTAGAGATTACTCGCTTTCTCCCCCGTTTCAAGCACCTTGTACTCCAACCCGAGATAAGATCGTTAACAGGTAGGACTAGCCGGATTGCACACCATCAGTATCCTTGCTCCCTCAACTAATTAGTATAAATAAATGCAGTTATAGGCTAAATTATTAATTTGTAACAGCTTAAAGCATTTATCGTTTTGATATTGTATAGCTGTTTATGTATCCTATAGGGTTTGTCTGGCCGTGGAAATGGACCATGGTGTGATAACCGACAAGTGATAAGATTCATGATCCCTCCAGCTCCCTCCCATTACTATTTTGTTAATTATTTTTAGGATAGCGAGTTTTCAATATGGGCCCATAAAGTTCTCAACATGGGTCCATCACACCTGAAATTATGCTCCCATTGGTTAATTTGTCTGCGCCACAAAAGATTTGGTCTCCTACTTACTCCCTTGTTCCTTCCAGTTCCACAGGGTGGAACTGTCTTAGTGTTTAATAAATGCTGCGCTGCGCCGGAGACGAAATATAGATCATTTTTAAGGTACTAGAGAAAAAAGGAAACGTTTCACGTGATCGGGCTAAAATGTTTGGTCGTGAAACAATAGGGATTAACTATGTGTTTTGTTTTATTAATTACCAAAAAAAAGTATGTGTTTTGTTTTGTTTAAAATTTTCATTCAATACTTGTAATTGTTAATGAGAATTACGAGCTATTAGACTCCATATCAGCGTATTAGTGAAAATAACCATTTGTAGAAGCTTTAAAATATAACTTCTCTAAATAGTAGATTGCACAAAAACCGAAATTTACTTTTGACATTCTCGATGCATACCAATGAGCAAGAAAGGTGAAATGGTGGAGTGATGCCTATGTGGCAGAGTTTATTGAATAAACGCTTTATTCACTTTGTTAATTACCTCGATAAATGTATTTATTTACCCAAGTAAGTACATTTATTTATATTCTTTTATTTTCTAATTAAATAAAGTAATATCTATTTTAGTCATACAAATTTATTATCAAAATGAGTATTTTTGTCCAATTCAAGTGCTAGTGACTTTACGCTTAAAGTGAAAAAGTTATTTATTCACCTAGGAGATAGGTATTTCTTACATGAGAAAATAAATTTTCCATGATCTCCACATAAATCTAAAAAAAGAGCATGGGTTTCTTGATTAATGGGAATTAAAATCCTATTGACCAACTTTCCTCCTCTTAAAATCCAAAAAAAGAACGCCCCCTAAATGGTAAACAACATTTCCATGTATCATATTCATGGGGTTGTCTGAACTCTTATAGACGTAGAAGAGTTAAGAGTAGTGTTTTCAATCCATCGTTGACCCAGCCTATCGAGCCATCACTCAGCCAAGATTTTGGGTCCAGTTCAATCAAAACCCGTCAGATGGTTAAAACCGTTGACTTGGTCAAGAACCGTTCGACCTGGTTAGTTCAACCGTTAACCTATTCGTCGGGTGGTCGCGAGTTACACATTCTATGTATGCAAACTTTCAGAGGCCATAACTTTACACTTCAATGTCTGATTGGGTTTTCTTTTTTGTTATTTTAGGTAATTTTTCGAGATCTATGCATCCCAAGGATCTATAGGTGCCTTGCCCGCTATTTTCGTAAAAAATAAAAAAAACTTATTTAACCTCAAATTACAATTTTTAATATTTGTTATAAATAAAAATATTAAAAAATACAAATTAAATATAAAA